GTCGGGTTGCTAATGAGACATGGGGTAACCCTTAGTGGTTATTATGAGACAAAAAAGAGAGAAAGAACAAAAACAGAGAAACCCTAGGGTTAAGATAAATCAATCCCAAAAGGGGTCCCTGTATTTGCAGTGCAACCCACAGAAAGGTAATTAAAAAATAACTTTTAATAAATTCCTTCTAAAAAATCATCAATACTTAAATGAATATGTAATGACTGTCCCTCAAAAAATAATACATACGGCGTGGCCTGAACGCCGATGGAGATGGCCGCCTAACTGAGGAGCTCCGACCCACATAGCCACAACAAGCGCACAAATCCCGCATATAGGGCACGGAAACCTACCTGATGGGTCGTGCCAAGAGGTCTGATTCCCACCAAACCACGAGGGGATCACAGGGGGCTACGGAGAAAGGACCGCTCGACGAATACCTACACACGCCGAGCAGACAGCCGCGCACCGCCACAGGCCACAAAATGGCCGACGACCGGACCTCAGCACAGCCGCCCGACACGCAGGAACCCTCACTGTCGGACATTCGGGCTGACATCAGAGCCTTAACGGGAGCCATGGTCACGAAAGCTGACCTGCAGGCACTATCAGCCACGCTCCATGAGGCAATCAGATCGGAGGTAGCTACAATTCAGAGGGACATAGTAGCTCAAGATGGACGCATACAAACCCTGGAAGCAACTCAACTTACAACAAGTAGCAGATTGGATGCCACTGATGCTGCAGTAACAAGGCAAGGCAACATGCTGCTACAATTAAGGAGGCAGACTGAGGACCTAGATAATAGGGGCCGAAGGTCGAACATCAGAATCCGAAACCTACCAGAAGCAGCAGGAGAAGAGGATGTCCAGGCTACGCTGACTGCCCTGTTCAGGGAAATCCTAGGCCCGGACTCGCTGCCGCGCATTGACTTGGACCGCGCACACAGAGCCCTGAGACCGCGCAACGCTGACAATACACCCAGAGATGTCATATGCTGTCTCCATGAATACAAGGTAAAGGAGATGATCATGAACAAAGCCAGACTGAAACCAACATGGCGGTTCCAAGGAGCGGAGGTAGCCCTATATCAAGATCTCTCCCCACTCACACTTGAGGCCCGCAGAGCGCTGAGACCAGTGACACAACTGCTACGCAGTCGCAATATACCGTATAAGTGGGGATTCCCTTTCTGCTTACTGGCCAGACATAATAATGAGTGGCGGCCTTTGCGTTGGCCGGATGAGGTACCGGCTTTTCTTCAAGGCATGGGCCTTCCACGCACGGAGGTTACGGACTGGATCCTGAACCCGCTGGAACAGAGACCCAACCAACCAGCCCCGAGAGCACCGAGGCGGCGCAGGGAAGACTCGCCGCTCCGACGGCCGGACCGCAGACCTCTCAATCCGGCGCAACACCCAGTACAACCTGGAGACTAACGCCTCCCGTACCCGAAATGGCACACGGCAGTGAGGGGACAACAGGAGTTGTGAAGATGGTCACCGACAGCTAGCACATTCACGGGACTTTCAGATAAGTACAAATAACTATTGATCTCCGACAGGACTATGGACTTTGACATATAACGCACCAACCACTGTCTCGCTTGCCAACTTTTGGAGCACTTAGATTAGAGGTGCGGGGACTGACAGGTGGAGACACATTATTCGGGGGCAGCGACGCAGGGAATGATCTGAACTTAAAGGGGGATTGCAACTACCGCTTTATTCCCAGGAGGCATCCTCAGACGAGGTCATAACTTGGGGTGGGGGGCATTGGAGGGAGGTAGGGGGCTTCACTCAGGACGCCACAGATGCAACACCTGAACTGAGTAAATGGTTTCGATGCCTACTGGACCCAATCAACATTGATGTACAATCCTATGACTTATGTGCCTGATATACCACTGTGGGGGTAGCTCCTTACGATGACGAGAGCGGAGGTAGGGGAAGGAGGGGGGAGAACCTGGGGACCAGCTCAGGCACACAATCAAAGGCACATTTCCCAACTTGTAACTGGGGGAAGGGGAGGGGAGAGGGGAGGGGGGGAGAGAGAAAAAGAGAAAGGAGAGGAGGAGGAATGGGGGGGGGGGGAAATTAAATAAATAACTCACACCTACACCAGGTTACATGCACCCAACGATACTGATGCGACAGTAAAAGGAAGCGACAGACGAAGTTGAAGCAGGCACCAAATGGGAAGGGGGGAGCAAGGGAAGAAAAGAGAGGGGGGTGGAGCAAGCAGGACATGGGAGGCACATAGAGAGCGAAGGGTACAACACTAAGCCAAGAGAAGGCGCTTGACGAGCTAACCTAGGGACCCCCCCATAGCAGACTACAGCCCAGATTAGGGAGAAGTGTAGAGACAAGACGGAAGATCCCAACCCAAGGTTGAGGAGGGGGATGCAGACTCCCTGGGGACTTGTGACCCTCCCCCACATCGCAGCCAAAACCAACAGGGCACACTGCGAGACCTCCGCACGCCTACCCCGAACATAAGATGAGACAACCCTGTACAGATCGGGAAACCCACTGGAATTAGGCCATACATTCAGCGAACACCATAACCATGACAACCGACAGACAGAACAGACACGGATGATCACCAACACTACTGACGGAGGGACCGGAGGACCATCGACCGCACTGACCACGCCAACATACAGACCCTTCAGTAGGGACCTACATTAGCCAAACATGCACTAGAGCGAAGTGCACTACATGCGCCACTAACATTGTGGGGACGAACAGTCTCCTGACTCACACGGTTTAAACCACATACCACACGCTAGGAAACGACGGTAACAACACACCTCTCCAGGCCCCAGGCCACTACCCGAACATTACCCGTGTAAACCAACCTACTGCGGGAACCACTGCCGAAGCCCAGCCGGGACCGTAAACCGGCGGTACGGCACTGACTGCCCGACCAGTTACACGGAGTCACCCCACACTGGGGTATCACATAATACACAACACCATTTCACACCTCACACGAACTACACAAGGCAGCGAGCAGACTATACACCTAAACACTGACACACCTAGAAGAAAGAGCCACACACGACACACCTGGGCACCAAGCTCTAGAGTACTTTACTGACACCTGCCTCACCACAACTATCCCCTTTTTCTCTCTTTTTTTTTTTTCTTCTACTCTTCTCATTTCCTTCCCCCCCTCCTCCCGCACCTACCTAAACGGGGGCCCGTTGGGGCACGTCCGGATCCTCCTGACCACAGAGAGCAGAGCTCGAACAGTCGGAAAGAGGATTGAACCTAAATAGTGGTACCCGACGCGGACACCGAGAGCTCACACATGGCTTACACCCCAGCGCCATTGGTGGTTAGGTCGCAAAACTGCAGAGGTCTCAACACCCCGGAAAAGAGATCTCACTTACTACGAAGCCTTAAGAGACAACAGATCTCCGTTGCCCTTCTACAGGAAACTCCAGAGTGGAATCAAACGCACTACTAAAGGACAAAAACTACCCTGTAAACTACTATAGCAATCATCCGACATCTCGCAAGGCGGGAACAGCGATACTCTTGGCGACACACCTGCAATTCACCCTACGGGAATCAAAGATTGATGAAGGAGGCAGATACCTCTTCATCAAGGGAGAAATAGCACTAAAAACGTACACTTTCGCCACAATCTACACGCCCAACACCGGACAAGCTAGCTTCATCAGACGAACACTCACGAAGCTATCACGGTTCACTGAGGGGATCCTCGTATTCGGAGGAGACCTCAACATCCCACTAGATCCCCACATCGACACCTCCACGGGTCGGAGTAGCATCCCACACTCGGCGATAAGGACGGTACACAAGGCACTCAGGGACCTATGTCTGGTGGACTCATGGAGAGCACGACATCCAGACGACCGGGATTATACGTACTACTCCACGATTCACAAAAGATACTCCCGAATAGACTACGTATTCATTCAACAGGAAGGCCTCACGTACATGCAGGGGGCAGACATATACACTACACCGTGGTCAGATCACAGTGCAGCACAAGTCACGATGACATCGCCCATGTTCAGACCAACTAGAACCGCATGGCGGCTGAATGACTCACTCCTGATGGACAAGATACTCAAGACACAACTCGAAGAACACTTACAACAATACTTCGCGGAGAATAACACCGAGGAGGTCTCAGATATGACGATATGGGAAGCACACAAAAGTGTCATCAGAGGTCACCTAATTCGTATGGCTTCCCGACGGAAAAAGGAAATCGGACAACAGCTAGCGAACCTCACGCAGAAGATATCTGACCTAGAAATGGCCCACAAACGAGACCAACAAGACCAGACCTACAGAGACCTAATGTCAAACAGACGGCAACTCTCAGAACTTATTGAGAGCAAACACGCCAGAACGATCCGAAGAACACGAGCATTCTTCTACATGCACGCCAATAAGGGGGGTAAATTGCTAGCAAGGATGCTGAGAGGAACACAAAGCAGGGCACAGGTACACGCACTGCGCACCACACAGGGCACATTAACTCAATTTCCAGAAGAAATCGCGAGCGAATTCCAACGGTTCTACACACAGCTATACAATACACGTGGAGATGAAGACAGAATTTCCCAAACCACGAGGAAGGCAGAAACGGCAGACTATTTAGGAGGCTTTCAACCGGATACCCTCACACCAGAGGAAGCAGAGGACCTAGAGAGGCCGATCACCGAAGAGGAACTCAAACAGGCACTGAAGGCAGCAAAAACGGGGAAAGCGCCAGGACCGGATGGTTTCCCGATAGAATACCTTAAGAAATTCGGAAACATTCTCATACCCCACCTAACCAAGGCATTAAACAGCATACACGAAGGACACACCTTCAACAGGGAAACCTTAGCAGCAATCATCACGGTCATCCCAAAGCCGGGTAAGAACACGGAGCACGTCGGAAACTACCGCCCAATATCACTCCTTAACACCGACGTAAAGTTGTTCGCCAAAGTGCTAGCTACAAGACTCCAGACCCACCTGACGAAACTAGTACATCCAGACCAGACCGGTTTTATACCAGGGAGAGAGGCCAGGGACTGCACCCTCAGACTATTCGCAGTACAACATCTAGCCAAACAAACAAAGACGAAGCTACTTCTACTCTCCACAGATGCGGAGAAAGCATTCGACAGAGTGGACTGGAACTTCATGACGGAGACACTACGCAAGATGGGCATGGGTCATGGATTACTAACTTGGATAACCGCACTATACAACCAGCCGAATGCCAGGGTCAGGGTGAATGGAGCTCTCACAGATAGCTTTGATATACGGAACGGCACAAGACAGGGATGCCCGCTATCCCCGATCATATTTGCCCTAACCCTGGAGCCGCTTCTGGACCGCATTCGGAATAACCAAGGGATCACAGGGCTCAGCTACAAAACGCAAGAACACAATGTCGCTGCATACGCAGACGATATGCTGTTTTTCCTTAAGAATCCAGTAGTCCATACCACAGTTACTGACCGAATTCGAAAATTATGGACGCCTCTCGGGGCTAAAACTCAACCTGACCAAGTGTGAAATTCTTAACGTTTCCGTACCCAAGACCGAATGCGCACAACTGGAATGAGAACTCCCATTTCACTGGTGCCATGAACGAATGAAATACTTGGGACTATGGATCACACATGACGTAAAGGACATCTACGCGCACAACTACACACCCCTTCTAACCACCATCCTTGGAGATTTAAAGAGATGGAACTATGCGCACATATCATGGCTTGGGAGGATAGCGGTTATAAAAATGAATATTCTCCTCAGGATCCTGTATCTTTTTCATACAACACCACAAACGATACCACAATCGTTCTTCGCAACACTCAAGTCGGCACTCATAAAATACGTGTGGAGAGGGGACAGGGCACGAATTAGATACGAAAAGCTCTGCCTTCCGAGACATTGGGGAGGGCTGGCGCTACCAGATGTCAAACGATACCACCAAGCCACAGTACTACAGAGGTTGGGGGAACTACATATAGCTTTGCCCCACAAAAGGTGGGTGACGTTATGGAGGGACACCACAGACAATCGATTGCACACGCTGATGTGGCACAAAGAAACGGAAGCACAAACAATTCTGGGAGAGGACTCTCCAGTTACGCAGACACTGAAGCACTGGAGCACACTGAGAAAGGAACCACAGATATCGCCCAAACCGAGCCCGCTAATCCCCATAACACATAACCCACACCTGGGCGATGGACTCGCGCCGTCGGCTTGGCCGATAGACAACCAAGAGGGATACATTCCCATACACATTATGCTTAATAACACGGGAGTGAAATCGCTAGGAGAAATAGCGGAAGGAAGACCGATCACGCCCCTGCACCAATTCCATTACACCCAGTTGAAGCACTACTATCATAACCTGCCACATAGGGCTAAAATCCACAGAGACCTTA